CTATTCTATTCTATTCTATTCTATTCTATTCTATTCTATTCTATTCTCTGTTTTGTTCCTTCTCAGTTCTTTTCTGTTCTATAGCTTGTGTTGATTAAAACCTTTTCTGCAAACAAACCAATCGCTTAACAACTGCAAACAAATCAATTTAAGCAAATTAACCACCCTGGCCCCAAAAAAAGTCGTAAATTGGGCAGGTCTCACTAAACAACTGCTCCGCTTAGCGATGGAATTCCTAGTCCCAGTTGTGATCATAAGTGGAGGACTTACCCGTACCACCACAGAGGTTGGAGCCCTGCCAAAGATACATGTCGATGGATGACTCTCTTAAGGAATGTGCACTTCTCTATTTGCAGGCGGAACTTGGGAAGGCGCGTCGAAGTAATTACACCCTTCCGGGTTATGATTTTAACTACGGATTGTACCTACACGGAATGGATGGAGGCGTCCCTGAAGGTAAGCGGATTGATAACGCTGATCACGCTTAGATCCATGCATGCAAAAGAAGGGATCCCTTCCGTCACCGCCAACCGGAGAAGCATTGGGGCGTATTTCTCACGCACTTTCAACTCCAGAAAGTTTCTACCTCTTGATTTAAAATTAAAAAAAAAAGATGTTGAGACTCTGGAAAGAGGGCAGAGGAGACGCTTAGGAGGTCGGATGAACCCTACGATGAATGTGTGATGGCCTGGGATGGGATACAAAATAAACACAGTCGCAAAGAACAGACGCAGCCCCTTTGATTCCTTCACTTTGCTTCCAAGCTCCAAATGCCCTTGACTGGAGACAAAAAAAACCTCCCCCACAAGCAGTTACAAGAAGGAGGAAATGCCCTTTAAATTATGAAGAGTAAAAAAATAACACAAAGCAGGCAAGATAGGGGCTGGAAGGCGTCCACAGATTTCAGAACACCCATTGGGAAGGATGCCAAACTCAGAGAGGAACAATAAAGTAGAGATATTTCCATGCTTTGTTTCCAGCACTCACCCATACGCATGTCCATCCTCTTATCCAGTTGTCACAGCTGCAGCCCGTGAAGAGGATCGAGGCCCTCTCCTCCCAAGTAGACCATGTCTCTCCCTTATCCTCTCCTCCCTGCGTGCCCTAGGATGGAGAGGGGATGGGCCTGGGTCCTCCTCTGCCCTTCCCCAGCCTCCTCCACCACCTCCGGAGCCCCACTTCCACTCCCTGTCGGCTGTTCCTCCTCTCCCTCAGAGTCAGTCTCCACCGGGGACATGACAAAAGGTTTAATGGAACTGGTCCCAACGAAGGGAAGAACTAGGGGTGACCTGACAGAGAAGAGGAGGAGGTTGGGTTAAGAGACCTGGAGGTTAGGGGACTGGCGGCCAAAACATAAAATGAACGGTTGCAGGAACTGGGCTTGGCTAGTCTCGTAAAGAGAAGGACCAGGGGAGACAAGATAGTGGTCTTCCCATATTTGAGGGGCTGCCATAGGGAGGAAGGGGGTCAAGCTATTTTCCTAAGCGCCTGTAGGCCAGACAAGCAATAATGGATGGAAACTGACCAAGGAGAGATTCAACCTGGAAATAAGGAGAAACTTTCTGACAGGGAGAACCATCAACTGATGGAACAGAAGTTGCCTTTAGAGGTTGTGGGATCTTCATCCCTGAGAGCTTTCAAGACGAGACTGTCAGAAATGGTGTGGGGATCTCCTGCTTGGGTGGGGCTGGGGGGGTTGTGGGGTTGGACTAGATGACCTACAAGGTCCCTTCCAACTCTGTTATGCTGTATTTCTCCGTTCCTTGGTTTGGAAAGGAGAGGGGCCTTCTTTGAATGTCTCTCCTTAACTCCTCCTCCTCCTCTTCCTCCAGCCATTTGCCACTGGCATGTCATGAAGCCCAGAATTATTTTGGAGAAGGAGAAACCCCGGGATTACATGACCACCAACATCCAGGCAGTCAAGGACGGCTACGTCACCGCCCACGAGCAGAACCTGTACCGCAAGATGAAGGACTTCCATGTCAACGTGGAGGACGAACGTCGGTTCAAGAGGACCCCTCCCAAAGTCCCTCCGGACATGACCTATGGAAGACCAGCACGGTGAGAGGCAGAGGAGTTCCCGCCAAGGGCCAAGGGGCTTTTTGGGGTGCACAGAGAGAGAGGAGGGAGGGAGGGAGGGAGAGAGAGAGAGAGAGAGAAAGAGAGAGAGAGAGACCAGCAAAGACAAATTCCTTGTGTGTCCAATCACTCTTGGTCAATAAAGAATTCTAGATAGATAGATAGATAGATAGATAGATAGATAGATAGATAGATAGATAGATAGATAGATAGATAGATA